ATGACAGCAGGAAGGAGGGAAGGTATTCGCTCTTTGGCAGACTAGGAATATCAATTTATGTAATCCACAGCCACTTCTTTCACACGGGACAGTATGCATCAACTGTGTTCTTGGAAGTACTCATAAAGTTCTCAAGAAAGCAGTCAGCTCTTTGGGACAGAAATGAAAAGAGTTTTGCTTTAGATTTACAGTGTGCCTGAAACAAAGGGGCTTAGACCACCAGGGTGGCTCCTAGGACTCACTGAACTATCTGCCTCTCGTGTTACAAAGTGAGATAGGCAACTTCCTCTTGAGTAAAAAAAGAAACAAAAAACCCCAGAAGAACCCCACCAAAAACACTAGTAGATTTTGAAAAATAATAACAAATATTTACCCATAATAAGTAAGACTTTTTTTTATAAATAGGTTAAGAAAAGACAACAAGAAAAGGAGAAGTCTTTGCACTGAAACTTAGAAAGGCTGCAGTGTAAGTCAGGGTCAGACTTACCAATGCTTTAAGACCGGGCAATAAGGATTTTTCATCTATTTAGAGGTTGCAGTAAACGCAAAATAGTAATTATAAACACAGCAAATCTCAAAGCAAATAATTTATTCTATCAATAGGAACACATTCTAGGATTCCTGAAAATTCAGGAAGCCTAGAATTGTAAGTGGAAACAACCATTTCAAGGACTCCTTGCAACAAAGAACAAGAGGTGCTTTCCTTTGTCGAAGACATTTCTTTATTCTGTAGGAAAACATTATCTACAAGTCAATTAAGCCATTACTATTTATTAATAATAACAAATATCTGTGTTTATTAATGATTAATAATTATTTATTAATTACAATTCTTAAATGGTAAGGATAATACAAAAGTAAGAATAGATATAGATAATATAGAAATTATTAAAGCTAAAAGAAATCATAGGGGAAATGAACTCTCTTTTAAAAACAAGCCTCGGTAGTAACACATACTAGCCTGAAAGCACATGAGCATGTTTCAAAAGCTATGATCGGGAATAAAAATCACATCCATTCTGCACTGTGCCTTCCACAGTATACTGTAAGTATTTATATCACTACAGATCCTAAACAAGATGAAATGCAAAAAAATTCCATGGCTGCAGGTATTCCACAAAGAGAGGCTTCCACCACCCCAACAGCTTGCAACCTACAGTAAGCATTGCCACAAAACTTGATGTGTACCAGCCAACTGCACACAAGCCATTTCAAGCCATAGGCAGACAGTAGCTGCTGCCGTTTCAAGAGAGAAAGATCAAAGAGCACAGCGTGGGATCAGCAGATTACTAGCGAGACAAGAACTAGAAACCCCCTCCTGCAATTTACCTTTGCCCAAGGAGTGCACATTACCGAGGGGGATTATAACAGGAATTGCTGACTTCAGCACAACCTGTACTAATGTGATGGGCACACCTGGCAACAAAAAGAGACCTGATTTGGATGGATGGGTACGCCTGGCATGGTACAAAGGAAGGAGAGTGTATGTCAAACCAAGAGGGTGATTTCCAGCAAACAATGCATATAACAAGCGTGTGTTTAAAGGCATCACAAGAACTGTATTTAACCCAGAATTGACAGCTGAGGAAGGGAGAAACCAACAGCATCAGCCACTCTTCCTCTTATTCCAGGTTGCTCCTGCCTCTGAAGGGTGAATAACCATTCCTAGAGATTTGTCCTCTTGTGTGGTAGTCCAATCAAGCCTTCCCCAGTCGTCAGCGCGTTCAAGCCCTTCTCATGCCCAAGCAGGGGGAATAAAGGGAGAGAAACTGACACAGGATTGTTTAATCATACCTTTGATCTCTAAGTTTCCTTCTGTCCTGGTTTCGGCTGGGATAGAGTTAATTTCCTTCCTAGTAGCTGGTACAGTGCTGTGCTTTGGATTTAGGGTGAGAACAATGTTGATAACACACTGATGTTGTAGTTGTTGCTAAGCAGTGTTTACACTAGTCAAGGACTTTCCAGCTTCCCATGCTCTACCAACTGAGAAGGCTGGAGGTGCACAAGGAGCTGGGAGGGGGCACAGCCAGGACAGCTGACCCAAACTGGCCAAAGGGACATTCCATACCATGGGACGTCATGCTCAGTACATAAACTGGGGAAAGCTGGCCGGGGGGGCCGCTGCTCGGGGACTGGCTGGGCATCGGTCGGCAGGTGGCAAGCAACTGCACTGTGCATCACTTGCCTTGTGTATTATTATTATTATTATTACATTATTATTGTTATTATTATTTTATTTCAATTATTAAACTGTTTTTATCTCAACCCACGAGTTTTTCTCACTTCTACTCTTCCAATTCTCTCCCCCATCCCACCGGGGGTAGGGGGAGTGAGCAAGTGGCTGTGTGGTACTCAGTTGCCGACTGAGGTTAAACCACGACACCTTCTAGGGTTTTTTTGCAAGAAAGCAGTTTGGTTTGAATACTGACATTTCAGTCACAGTTACAAATTACTTAATTTCAACTAACAAAAATCTTGGACAGGCCGAATCAGTGCCTGAATCAGTGTTGGACTTATTGAAAAGAGCTTCTGATCACATACATTATCCCTTTTAAATTAATGGGACATGGTTATTGTATACAAGACAAAACATGTGTAATAGGACATAGAGTTATTTTAAGGCTCCCACACAATTAAGCTGTTGCAAAAAACCTATTATGAAAATTTTCAAGTTTCTTGGACAGAAACCTAAGGTA